ATCAGATTGTCCGATGTTTCTAATTTAACACTTTATCATCGCTGTAGCAATGATAGCTGATTGACCTTTTCACTACGGGCGTGTACTAAACAACAAAAATGCACGTTGCGCGAGATACCGATCGTCAGCCGCCGAGACTCATTTTTTAGCCATTCTGTTGCATTTTGTTCCTGATATTGACTGTTTTTTGTTCGAAAAAAACAAAAGACTAAAATTACACATAGCATATTTGATGTGCTATAACTGCACAACGCTCGTCGTATGTAAAATACGCGGCATTTTATATATATACATTTTATATATATACATATATATTTTACATATATTCGGTATTTACTGTCATTAATTGACATTTATCGACAATTGTCCGATTTTACTGGAAATCAAGAAATGATCTCATGTCAGATTTTCGGCTGTTAACGTTATATGTTTATATTCTTATTTATTGTTAGTAGCAATTAATTATATAGAGATATCGATATCTTTCTTCCCTCGTTTCTAAAGCGGAACAAACACAGCTGAATATTAAATGACGTTGAACCTACAATAGGTAGCTTGACCTAGATGCCATACGACGTGATCGATAGATCGCATACAGACTCGTCGTGAAAGGGACTACTCCCGTACTATGATGTTGCTTTTAAAATCGCATTTTTTTTTTCAAACATTCTTTGATGCTTTTCTCGACAAAATAAATCAATCTATTAACACGTTGACTGCCGCGCGCTTTTCACATTATTTGTCGGCTACTCCTACACGAATTTTCTATTATGGGATGCATATGTTGTTGAAATTTTTGTTACAACTGATAAACAACGTTGTATAATTGTATTTTGTCTATTTTTTATGGTGAGGTCACCGGTGACCTACTCGGCCAGTCAATATGTCAAGATAGAAATTTACAAATATTTTTCCTTTCAGTAATCATTTCTATACAATTTTAATCTTTTTTTTTTTAGTATCAATCATATATTTTTATACTGTATAAAAAAGTATTAATTTATTATACAAAAATACACACTAAATTAACAAAATATTTTAATTTACTTTTTAAAAAACCATATAGGACGTATACGTGCATACTTAATGTTTGCTTAATCTATATATTAAATATTCAATTAATATTATTATTATTATTATTATTACTATCATTACTTCTATTACTGTCATCATCATCGTTATCCTTGTAATCATCATTATTATTCTTTTGTCTTTCCGTTTTTATTTTTCGATTTCTTTTTCTATTTGAGTATAGAAGTAGAATTTCTTTTATCTGTATACATACATTGGAATATTTGAAGAGTCTCTTATAAACTCATCTTGATCTTTATCTCGATAATGACACTTCGGTACCGGAGGCTTACAAAGACATACTTGTAATACCCGTGCAACAACGATGACGACGACAACGACGACGATGACAGAAAGGGGAGCGTCTCTCAATAAAGTGTCATTTTCTCCTACTTCCTTATTAAACTTAATTAACTTTTGATTTTTAATTACGTCTCTCTCTCTCTCATTCCTTCTTTTTTTTCTTATTCTTGTGATTTAAGTACCACTCATTTATTTGTATACTCCTTTTTATCTTTTTTATGTCATGAGAAGCATTTTTATGACTCGAATAAGATGAAGATGATACTCCTTTGTGTTTGATTATTTGTCAAATATTTTTGCGAATTCAGCTTATTTCGTTAGAAATTGTTATCCGTGCAACTTGCAATCTATTCTTTCGTTTATTCATATCGAAGTATTTGCTTGCTTACTTCGAATATGAAATCTAGGAAGTGGAATAGTTGGTATCGAGAAAATGTGCAGACGATGAGAAAATTGTACGAAGAATTTCTTTCAAATTTTCTTCGACGATCCTTTCTCCTCATCTATTCTTTCCTTTTCTTTTCTTTTCATTCCTTTATATTGACAAACAACCATCTCGAAGGAAAGTTTGGGAAATGACTGAAAATGAACATAAAAGGCCACGAGTATTTATTTTTAATGATCGTCGGAGAGAAAATTGATCTGTAGATTAAAAATAAGTCATCTTCTGCACAAACAAACTTTCTTTTTTGATATGTTATGTTTTCAATGGGAAATCGAAGGGAAGAATTTCGATTATTGGATATTTGTCGTAGGACTATTTTCGCATTTTTGTATCTGTCATCATTTAAATTCTCATCTTTCTTTATTTAGGCGCTAGATTCTCTCTTTCCTTCCGGATAATTAGGAAGGGAAAAGGAGCCCTCAGTGTATGAAACTATGCTGGCAACAAGATGCCGTCCTTATTGTACGTACCAACGGGCAAGGAGCGAATGAGTTAAAGGATGACGAGGGAGGTTGGGATGCTTGGAAGAAGGTTCAAAGAAAGAAAGAAAAAAGGAGGGAAGAGGAGAGAAGAGGAGAGATAAAGAAGAATCGGAGAAGAGACCGCATCGAACCGGCGTCGGCGGCGGCCTCACGAAAAAGGGATAAGCCTGGAATGAAAGAGAGACAGTCGAACAGAAAGTTAGAGAGAGAAAGAGAGAATAGGAGAGACACAATGAGTGCGAGAGAAAGTAGAAGAGAGATAATGAGGGTGAGAGAGAGTATAACAGAGACAGAAAGAGAAAGAAAGAGAACGGTTTGTTTCAGTCGATGATACAGCATGCTGTGTGTGTGTGTGTGTACGTAGTGGTATGTGGAGACTGAACGAACAAGAGAAAAAGAGAGAGAGAGAGAGAGAGAGAGAGAGGAAGGAAAAGAAGAGGCGTCCGTTTGGTCGGGTCTCTCTTCCTGGAAGCTAACAATAATAGCAGCCTCGAGAAGAGAAGAAAGTATGGTATTGTGTGTGCGGTTCGATTCTACGTGTTTGTGTGTTGTATACGTATCATGTGGTTGGCTTCGACCGATGACCGAACGCTGCTTTTGCTTCTAGGAAAATACCTAGATCGCTGCGGGTCGTTGGGTAGGCAATACCCCTTTTAAAAAAGCCGAACCTTTGCTACGGATGAGATGGTATGTTATGCCGTTCATAAGGATGAACATGAGAGAGAGAGAAAATGTGGGTAGTCGTAAACAATCGGAAAATTTACAGATACCCCGACCGAACGAAAAACGAATAACTCTTCGAACGATGACACTTTTGACGTGTGTGATCCTCTCTTCGTTTTAATCATCTTACACCAACAGTGTTTCTCAACTTTAACATTGTTGGCTTCGATACATTTATTTTTGCTATTGTACCAACGATCTAATGTTTCTTCTATTAGATTTTGGTATCTCAAATTATGATTTATTATTAACGTATCGTTTTTCCTACGAACTTTCCAAAATATATTTTACGAACTTTTTCTGGAATTCTGTTTTATGATTAATTAAATAAATGTTTGAAAGATGAGCCTATGTTATTATTATACTTATTTTACTTACTTATACGTAGACTCCGATGTATTGTAGATACTAAAATTAGTTCTGTGTAGTAGTTGTATTTTATTTATTAAGTAACGCAAAGTAATTTGATATACAAATGACATTTAAATTACGACGGGGGTTTGGTACGATTAACATTACTGTTTTATTTAAAATTTGATACATCAGCGTTTCTCAACATTGTGCCTCATTATTGGAATGGATTAAAGTTGCAGGAACAACAACATTTCTAATCCAAAAATGTACAGTACTTTTAAAATGCTGCTTCTGTTACAATATCGAATATAATGAAGGGTCGGAATTGAATAATTTTTCATGAAATTTAGATTTCCATAATGTTAAACATTCGGCGGGATGTACGATGTTTTTATAAAGTTGTTTCTTCTCTGTACGCATAGCCACCACAGTACCAGCAAAACCAACAACAGCAACAACACAAAATAAACATATCAACAACAACGTCACCATTGGGAACACACACACACAGTACTAATAGTTAAAAAAATGACTGTGGGAGATTTATAGAAAAATATTTGTATAACTGAGCACAAGCCCAATAAGCATCAGGCCCGTATTTTAATAGCCAAAGCTTGAATGGAATTACGTCCGGAAGAGGTTCGTGTTGTAGTTTCAACTCGTCGTGTCGGTGTCGTTTGATCCGCAACCGAGCCACTACACTATTACCATTACCACTACGACTACACCATCCCTGTCGGCGGCCATACACGCGATTAAGCGTTGAATCTAAATGAATTCTCATCGTTACACGTATATCCGAGCGGCTCGATAAATTGCCTGACTGATTTCCGATAAGATTATAGGAGCCGATAAAGATTTTTCAAAGGTATTCTCCTTCCACCTTTTAACCTTTCCTCTTTTCTATATTACAATCTAGACCTTTTTCAATCATTATTTTAATTTATTCTATTCTTCTTATGATCTATTTAACACCTTAAGGAAGGGGGCAGGATGTTTATATTCGTTTTTATACAAAATTTGAGCATACGTTATAATATCACGATTTGCAGTCTATTTAAACTGGCGTTTATACTCAAATTTACGCTCTACATAAGAATATTGTTGAAAATAATTTTCGATTGAAATTCTTTTCAGAATCGGTTAAATCTAATTTATTTAACATTATAGATATATTACACTTGAATATATTTATTTATATATATATATATATATATATATATATA